GTCTCTCATCTGATTCAGAGTTGTTTTTTTCCATTATATAGGCCTGATCTGGACTTTGCAAAACAGCAACGGGGAAATGGTCTATGTCTTTTAATGTTTTTCTAACTTTCTCTTCAGCATTCTTTTCCTACTCAATATTTTCCTTCTAAATTCTCCAGGGTCAGGGTGGGGATGAGGAATTACAGATAAAGGGTCAAAGGCTACTTTCCTTATTTGGTCTTATCTGAAGTTTTCTCTTGGCAGTGAAATGTCCTCTGTCAGACATTCAACTTCTGCCTCTTCAGTTTGTCAGGTTCTTTCCCAGAAACTCTTTAAACTGGCCTGCTCCATACCAGAGACTCCTACAATAAATAAGACCATCATACATCAAAATATCCCTGGACAGTCATGGTCTATGCCTATTGTCTTGGCACAATTACTAATAACACCCCCTTGGACTCTTTAAACTGCCGTGATTTGGGAAATAAATTATGCAATCACCCTAACACTGTACAACTGTTCAGCTTGAGCAGCATGCTCTCCAGCTGACCTCTTCTACTGTGTGGCTCCACTATCTGCCAGTCTCCTTGGAATCTACCACTTCATCCATCCAATCAGCAAGTTTATGAGACAAGATGGTGTGGCAGATTATACAAGAGAGTTTTAGAAGCCAAGCATAGAACTGGCATAAATCACTTCTACCCACATACCACTGCCAGGGCCATGTCTAGTCACATAACTTATGACTCCAACTTTTCTTTTTTGCATTACACAACCCCCCTTTCAAGTTCCTCTTGCTGGATCTCTCCAACTTCTAAATTCAAGGCTAACTGAAAAATCGAATTTTCTTGTGCACCCGAGAGGATGAAAGAAAATTGGTATCTTTCCAGACTTTGCCAGTTCCACACTCTAGTCAGCAAATATTAATTTGATCTTCTTCCCACACATAGATCACATTACCTCCTCCCAGAAGAACAACCCAAAGTCCTCTCCAGTCATAGAGCCTAAGATTGCAGGTGATGCTCAATCCCTTCCATCAGGTCTATAAATGATTCCTTTTTGTTTGATGACCAGTTGGCTAAAATGATGTGTTTTCTGCTTCTCCCTTCCTTGCATATACCCAATATTCAGTGGTGGAACCAAGGACAGGCAAACTTCAATAAACATCCCATTCAGAAAGAGGAAGAATGGGAGACATACGGTTGTCACTGGGAAGACATTGTGCTAGCTCCCTGTTCTGGTATGGGGACAGTACTTGATTTAATCTTTATTCTGTTCTCTGTGAGGAACTCCCTCGCCCATATTCTTTGGGCCATTTGTTCTGCCCTCTGGGAGAATACCAATCTAAAATGGGTACTGAGGAGCCTCCCCCCTGTGAAGGGTCTTAAATCTTTGAAGCTACCTTCTACTCATGAATAATTTGGTTCCAGTATCTGTATTGTCATAATCAGTCAAAGGCTTTCTAAACTAGGGCTGTGTTTCTTGAGGAAGTCAATTGCCTCAAATACTCAGTAAATGTCTAATCATTTTGCTTTCAGTCAGTTCCATGGTCTGTATACCAATAACCACACCCAAAATTATTTCTTAGACACAGTAAGATGTGGCATTTAAAAGGACTTTGAAGAAAAAAAACCCAGTAAAATTTATTTGTTAAATGAAGTGACTCTGGGGAAAGAGCCAATTAAGGGTGTGGTCCTCCCACTCAAGCCAGTTAATTTCAAGGTAGCCAACATTAAGTTGAGAGAAGGAAAGAGGCATGAAAACAAGAAAGCAAATAAATAAAGCCAACATGAGATTCAATTAAATCAAGCTGCTTTAAAAAAATTTTTTTTTACCTAAAATAGCCTTCTTTCCTTTCTCCAGGCTTGTTTTGTGGGAACACCCCATCTCTTCCACACCCTTACGAAACATACAAGTTAGGGATTTTTTTCTCACATGGCAAACGCTATTATGTACACAGCTGCTATTTTGGTTTGAGCTCTTCAAGTATGTCAAGGGTAGCACTTCTGTGCATCTTTTGTTTTGTTCTGTCATGGTTGAAAGTTGGCTGCCACAGATCTTACAAGAACATCTGCATGATGGAAGGAATGGGGAAAATGTGTGGCATCAGCAATATGTCCCTTTTATCAGGAAATCAACATTGCCATCCAGTATTTACCATTCTGCTTATGTTCTACAGTTTGTTGGGCAATACTATCAAATTTCTAAGTTTAGTTAAAGTAAAATAAAATTATTAATTAAAATATCAGAATTAGAGCCAAAAATGCATATTTAATATTTAATCAAATTTCATATCCTTGGAAAATTAGGTATATTAAACAAATTGCCTTATACTGCAATACAGAAAGGAAATAAATTTGTAATTTAGAAAAATAACTTGAACCAACTGATTTTCTTTTTTAACCTCTATGAGTTCTTGAAAGGGACTGAAAATTTTGTAAATGCTAAAAATAAAGTCACTTATAATGACTTTGATAAACAATACTGATTGGTTCAATCAGCCATGGGAAAGACAAATGTGGGTGATTGAATTATTGGCATAGAAGAAAAGGAAGGAGAGGAAAGGGAAAACTGAAGATAGTTTTATCAACAACTCTATATGTTAACCAGATTCAAACCAAATTAAAGCAAGATTCATGAAATTAGCATTAATGGAGGGAAATTATGTGGGACTATATTAATTGTTCAGGAGCAGTTTGATTGTAATTCTTGTGGATTTGAATTTACAGTTGCTTGGTGGAGGAGAAAATACTAATCACAGTGAAGGGAAGGCATAAGGAGTGCCAGACACTATTCTGGCTACTGTAATTAATACTTTCATTATGCTTCATTTAAACTTAGACATTTAATGACACTGCCCAACTCAAATTTTGCCCAACACTAGCAAAAGAGGAATTACAGGGAATTCAAAAAGTAAGCCAATAAATTATAATAAAAATACTATTGTAACATGAATGAGGAAATATCTTTTTATTTGGGAGATAATGGTGAAAGCTCCCAAATGGTTTCAAAAGGCATTTAAAAGCTACTGAGATAAGTTTTACAGGATGAATTGGATCCAACATACAGATATGGTAGAGAAGGGACTCCCGTGCAGTTGGAAGAACAGCATATATTGAGGCACGGACCCATGAAAGAGCCTGAAGTTTCTGGAACCATAAGCAAAAAGATTTGTGAGATGGTGGATAGCATGGCCCGAGCTGGAGCCTGGAAAGTAAGACATTGGTAAGGTTACAAATTACCTTGGGTGGTTTGAAGTGTTTATTCTCTATCCAGGGGCAACAGAGATTGATGAGAAATCAGAAGAAGTAGATGACTAGCTTTTCTAAAGAAATTCTGACAAAGCTATAGAAGATATCTAAGCGAAAGTAAGACTAGAGGCCAGGGGACCATTTTATTGCCATTTTGTGAGCAAGAGTAGATGAATTCCCGAACTAAATAAGTTCAGGTGGGAATAGAGAAGAGGAAAAAGACCCAAGATATATTCAGCAGGGTTGGAAAAGTCCACCTTAAATATAAACTAAAAATAAATAGGAGAGTCAAGGAAGACTAAGTGCTTCTGACTTTGATGACTAGTGGATGATGATGACATTAATTGAGATGTGGAATATTGAAAGAAAACAGGCTTGAAGGGGGCATGTTAAGGTGACTATATGGCATGCTGGTGTCTCTTAGATATTTGGAAATGAACCCCCAGAGCTTAAGAAATAGAAGTGGTGAGAGAAAAATAAATTGGGATCTACCAGTGTGGTGAAATCCAAGGAAGAAGATGAGACCCTTTTGGGAGGCTAGATAAAAGCAGGTATCAAAGAAGTAGATGAAACTTTTCGAGGACATTAGATAAGAGCTAGTAATTTGATGCTTTTGTTGCAAATACAGTAGGTGCTTGGGTTACATCGGAGATCCATTCCTACAGCACAATGTAACATGATTTTCACGTTAAGTCGGAACCCACCTACGTCACTCACATGGAGCACATACACAGCAGTAATGAAGTGAAACAGTAAAAAAAAATTTAAAAGAAAGATAACAATTCCTGACCTTTACTTGTGGTAAATAAATAATAATGAAAACATAAAGCACATATGTACATACGTTGAAATGATGGAACTTTTTTTTAATATAAATAAATGGGAGATGGCAACGTAACCACAAAACGATGTACGTCGAGTCCGATGCAACCTGAGGACTGTCTGTAATTGCTTACTTGGGTCCCTTGCCCCTCTCCATTCTCCTCCTCACACTGTGCCTTTGCACATAAAACACATAATAGGCAGGAAAGGGAGAAAAACTGAATAATTCTCCTTGAGAGCAGTTAGCAACTCTGATAAAAGACGTAATGAGAGATAAAACGGAAGCTATTGATTAAAATCATGCATAACAGTTAACTGTAGGATTCAGTTATACTAAATGGAGAATTGAGTCTTGCTTATATGAAAGGCATTTCAAAGAGTCACTAAAATCTTATAAGAATATTTAGATTCTTAATTTCCCAGAATGGAAGAATGAAATATTTTCCATTTTCATAACATACTACATGATCATTGCAGGTTGGGGCAACCCAAACACCAACTCCTTTTAGCCAAGACGTTCAAAGCAGGATATAAACTTCTCAGTATCTGTCAAGTCTCAAAAAAACACACTGATCATGGATAAAAGACCAAACCTTTTTACTCCAAGCCCTGAGTTACACACCACATCTCCCACATACAGTGAATCTCTTCTATTCCCAGTGTCTAGCGTACTGCAGTGAAAATACTATTTTAAAAAAATAGCTTTTTCTTCTCTCTCAGGAAAAGACCACTCTTGTGGTGAAGTAGAAATGTCCCTACCTTACCTGGCACTCCTGTTATCTATCTATCTCCCCTCCTATTGATCCGAGGTTGGCTCTATAACTGCTCTGACCACTGGAATGTAGCAGAAGTGACGCTGTGCTTTAAGAGATCACAGCTTGTGATTTTGTCTGCTTGAATTACTCTCTCTTGGAAGCTGGCCATTATTAAACAAGTCCAACTTCTCAGACAGAGGGAGGAGGCCACATGAGAAGATGCATGAAGCTAGCTTGGCTCCAGCCCCATTCTTTCCGAGGTTCTAGCAGAAGAACCATCCAACTGAGCTTCAGCCATCCCACAGAATGGTAAGGAATAATGAATTGTTGTTTTATGCCACTAAGTTTGGGTGTGGTCTATAACAAAATAATAGATAGCTAAATGCTGGGTTAAAAATAAAATGCTTTCACAAAAGAGGAATAAACATAATTGCATTGTAAGTCATTTACATGCATGCTGGTTTAAACTTTAAAATTTTCTTTTTTAATGCAAGTATTGGTATTTAAGCCACCCATGCTATGAGAAATTATAAAGTGCTACAACATATTAGATACTCTTCTAGATTCCCAGGGACTCAGCTTTGAGTACGACAAGAAAGGTCCCTGCCCTTATGATGCAGCTTACATTCTAGTGACGGGCAGAAAGGGCAGGTATCAAAGAAGTATCAAAGAAGTGAACAGGTAAGTAAACAAAAGAATTTTAGGTGGTGAAAACATAAAGCCGAATCATGTGAAAGAGAAAGAGCAGGGTGAAGGACCTTCTTGAAATTAAACGGTTGGAAATGGGTTATTTGATAATAGGTTATTTGAACTGAGACCAGAATAGCAAGAAGTAGCCAGCTTTGAGAAGACCTGAAGGGGAGGAGGAAAATTGAAAAGCTGTCCAAACAGAGAAAATTTACTGGACAGTAATGCATTAGGATTATTGGAGGAATAGAAAAGCCAGTGTGGCCAGAGAAGAATGAGCAAGAGGGAGAGTATAAGAGGACCAGGACAGCAGGCAGAGGCCAGAGAAGTCACACAGGGGCTCTGTGAGCCACAGAAAGTAGTTTGGACTTCATTCTATATGAAATGGAAGACAGTGGAGAACATAACTATAGCTGTCCTTAAGTGGCTTAACGAGTGGATTCTTGGACAAACTTTTCAACTCAGAGGCTAAAGACCTGTGTAAATGATTACCTCAATTCATAACAGGGAAAGATTACACTGATACCAACTAAGAGAAGGAAACCTTATGAGGAGACCTGGAAGCCATGCAGAACTCAGCTCCTCCAACCACTGCCACACCCTCTGACACTGTAGCAACAGCAGATAGACAGAATGCTAAGATAAGTAAAAACCCCAAGAGACCAAAGGAGGAAGCCAAGTCTGCAAACTTTTTATTATCAATAATAACAGCAACTTATATTTTAGTATGTCAGAGCCTGTAAAGAATCCACATTATACCAGGCTGGCCTGGCTCAGGGGTTGAGCATCAACCTATAAAACAGGAGGTCATGGTTTGATTCCTGGTCAGGGCATATGCCTGGATTGTGGGCCTGATTCCCAGAGTGCGGCCTGCAGGAGGCAGCCGATCAATGATTCTCTCTCATCATTGATTTTCTATCTCTCTTTCCCTCTCCCTTCTTCTTTTTTATTATATATATATATTCTTTTAATATATATAATAAAAATATATTTTTATTAAAGAATCCACATTATCTCATTTTATCCATAGAACTACCTTATGAGGAAGGCTAAGAAAGCTTTGCCCCCACCTTAAAAATAGGAATCAAGATTCAAGGTTAGTCTACTCTGCCGAAGCCACAGAGCCCAGGATAAAATGCAGCTCCTCTTCCTAAACCCTTGTTCCTCTCATTAAATCACACTACCTAACTAGAGCCTAAGTATTTCTAAAATATGTGGAAAAATACAGAACATGTGGGAAATGGTTTAGGAAGTCCTCAGAGACAGCACACTGAAAGCAGCCTTTCGTTCATCCGCATAGGGCACCAGGTAGGGTGGGGGTGATACACGAATGGATCTGCCCTTCAAAATAGGATGTAATAAAATAAACGTTGTCCACCTGACTTGATGAGGTCCCTGACTTCAACAAACATGAAAAAGGGAATTCACACTTCACTTTAGTAGCAATAATTTGAAAGTTAGAACTTCAAGTTAAATTTCTAAAACAGTCTCTTATCTCACCCAGCTAAGTCTTTTATGGATTGTCTGACAATTCTTACAAAACTTGGGAAATAACTGTTGAGAAAGGCTGCTGACAATAAGGACCTCTCTTGTCCTTGTGTGTTCTTCATTTTCTTTTATATTTTCCTCAAACAGAATAGAACTATATGCATAATAAGCCTCAAATAATAAGAATAATGGATCTCTAGCAAATAAGTTCACCAACGTTATTATTACATAAAACACACAGTAAATAACTTCAAATGAGTCAGAAGAGCTTTTAATATGGATTATAGTGACTTCTTTCCTAGAGTGCTCTTGGATGATTTCTGGAGCAATTCCTAGACCAGTGTTTGTCCCTCAAGGAATGCTGAATTGGTAGCTTCATCTTGGCAATGAAGTACTTTGAAATGCTGGCAATAGAAATATCCTATGCACCAAAACATGTTTAAGTAAGCATTTAGCAATAATATATGCTATGAGGGCTTTCATATTACATATTGCTGTAAGTTTATTATGCATTTTAAAACCAATAAATTATAAAATATTTTTGTATTATACAACAGATAATTTGATTCATTACCTGACAACCTAGTGTAAAAATTGCAGTCTATGGATCATTGGGTCACTTTTATAACATATTCTTCAAAGCTGAGGTACTCAATGCTACAAACATGTATTTGAGTTTCTATAGAACAAATTTTGTTTTCCTAGTAGTTTTAACCAGTCCTTATAGAATTCACAAAATTATATAGCCTTTAAATTTTTTAAATGATATCCAGAAAGAGCATTTTGCTTGTATTATCCCTGTGGACTATTTGCTTTTGACATGACTAAACTTGTTTTGTTTTCTAGTGTTGAAAGAAGTGGAAAAATTGATCCACTTAATGAACATTTCTGAGAAATATTAACACACAACAGTAAAAAGGGACATGATTTTAAAGGTTTAAATTTAAAAGAAACAAAGACAGCTGTTGGGGGAAAAGAATTAGTCTACTGAAAAAATGAACACAGTTCAAGCACAGCTCCAAAGACCATTAATGTTTTCAATATAAGTGAGCAATAAAGGCCACTTTGGAAAATATCTGTTCAGTAACAGCACTGATTTGAAAAATTAAGAAAGTAAGTTCCTGCAAAAGAGAATATAAAGAGAGTAACCAACCACAGTCATAATAATTATCAGCACCACCCAGAAGCCTATTGTGTAAACCATGTGCACACTGCACACAATCAATCAGCAGGTCACAGCTAAGAGACCTGGTGGGATAGAGAAAATATCTCTGAGCTCAACACATCTGTGTTCCTACAGGTCTGTCTGCTAATTAACAGAAAGATTGGGGCCTCTATTTCTCAACTTCAAAATAGAGGAGGCAGCAAAGGTACTTTCTAACTCATTCTATAATATCAGGAGAAAATCACACAGATGTAGTTTCAAGGACAAAACAATGATACACCAATTACCACAGATAATAACTTGGAGAACTTTGTAGTTGAAAGTTGGCAAATTCCCCAGCAATATCACAGCTTCAAATTATCCCTCAACCCATAATAATTCTTGGGGAGTTATTAGCCTTTGAGTCCCTATTTCTTCTTAGCCATTACTATTTTGTCACCAAAAAACGTGTTCCACATCACCAGAGTATCAAAAAATATGCTGTCCCACCACCTCGCTGAGATGTAGCAAAGAAGAATCAGCAGGTAGGTGCTGGCACCTTCCACACATACTCTCTCTTGCTCAAGAATCCGGCACAGAAAGTGTTATCACCCTTCAATGCAGATTAAGCTAAAGTTCAGAAATTCAATCTGCTTGTGAGCTGAGATATAAGCCCAGCTCAAAAGATGGTATAGTTTTCCCATACATCATTTACTGCTATCACAAAAACTAAAAAAATAATGATAAATGGAAAATACAATTTATGCTCCACATAGGTAAAACACCGCATCTTCAAAAACATTTAAGAAAATCTAATTTTAATTTTTTTCAATTCATAGTAATTTTCTTATGGCTCATCTGTTATTGCTCCCCAGCAAATGAAATTATTTGTGTGCTCCATTGGACTGAAAGATCACCAAGGACAGGAGCTGTGAATGATTTGTTTACAAATTTCCAACCTAGAGCTCTGTTGGACAAATAATATTATTTAATAAATGTAGACCTAATTTGAAATATTTAAGAAAATTTGTGAGATAAAACAGTAATATTGAGAGTATTTTGTCCATGGTATCAGCTGTTTCATCTTTTTAAATTACTTTTTAAATTAATTTGTGAATTAGAGAAAGCACCTTTGTTACCTTTTAGTGATAAACCACTTTACGTGGGCCATCAGCATTATCTGTGAGCATAGCTTGAGAAAGACTGGTCGAAGATAGAAATAGGATCTGGGTTGATGTTCTCCTTCAAGATCTAGTTAATCTTGCCTCTGGGGAAATCAGAGTTAAGGCATGTCAATCTCTATTTTTTGTTGTTGTCATTGTTTGTTTGTTTTGTTTTGTTTTATATATCATGGTGTAAGCAACTCAAACAGATATCCAGAAATGGTTTTTCACATGTCCCCTTCTTTTCCATTCTCTTCTTCACCTCCACTCCAAGACAGGAGGAAATTAGCTTTCTGGCTGACTATCCAATCTCATGTCCACCAGGACACATTAGTAATTCTCAATGGGGCAACGGTAGTGAATCTGGCTGATGATAGCTTGGCTGAGGAGTTAGTTGACCTACCTGCTGATGAGCTCATCCCCAAAGTCATTCATGACTCTAGCAGATGTTTAGACTTCACAGAATGGTAACCTTCTTCAGACTCCAAAGCCAACCAGGATCCAATGGAAATCTTCTAAGCAATGTACCGCACACAACTAGAACACAAAGAACATGAGAAAGACATCCAGAGGACCTGCTACTGTACTGCTTCCTCACACCCCTGACCAAACTACTGAAGCTACAAATGACTTTGCTATAGAGATATAGTGCACAGCTGTGGAAGCTGCCGGCTAGAGGAGAATGAAGAGAGGAAGATTTGTACTGAAATAAATTTGCTGCTTACATGAAGGGAAAATTTCATTATAGCAAATGAATCAATCGTAGTGATTCTGAAAGAGCTATTTTGATAGTTTCAAAAACCAGCGATCCTTTTTTTATCCACAGG